AAATATCTTTAAATATTTTTTGTGTTTGGTTTTCTTTCTGTTTCAGGGTGGAGCACTTGATAGAAACCCAGAATACAGCAGCAAGGAAAGTTCCCATCAGGATTGTACACTCGGAGGGAAGTGAGGAGAAGGAGAACTCTCCGTTCCTCCAGCAGAGAGCGCTTCCTCACAGCGAGGCCGAGGGCCGGAGCGCGGCCGGGTTTGGCACTCCACCGGCTCTGGGACAGGACTCCGTTTTCTGCGCCTTTACCCGGCAGAGGGAGCCCGAAACCACGGCGGGTACAGAGACAGAGCAAGCTGCCCAGAGTAACCCCTACATGACCACGGTGGGAGATCATCCGAGCTCCAACATGGAGGAGCCCGGCAGCAAGACGGAAAGCACAGAGCTGAGCGAGGAGGAGGACCAGAAGAGACAGGAGCTGGCGAGGGACATCATGGGGAAAGACAAGTCACTCGCTGATATTCTGGATCAGAGCAAGATGAGAACCACCATGGACTTGATGGAGGGGATCTTCCCTCAGGAGGAGCAGCTGTTGGACGGAGCCCAGCAGCGCAGGAAGGTGCAGACGAAGCAGAGCAACCCAAACCGGCCCGTCGAAGAGAGGTGAGTCACTCTGTCCTTCACAGCGACCGGAGACGGACCAATCAGGCGGTTTTCACCTGAAAGGCTGAAAATCTAGGGTGTTCATATTTTTTGTCACATTGGCAAAAAAATTGTAATTTCAAAAGTAGACTACTACTCTAGAGCCAAAAATATCATTTTTAACAGGTAAAATCACCTGAAGTGTTGATTTCTGACCTGCAGAATTATTATTCATGAACAATTTTAATTAAACAAAGTAATCCAATTTGTTTTTCAGGAACGGGATCAGAGATCCAAAACTTCAGATATTTTTTTGCATGTTTTCCTTGTTAAATGAAAGTTTGCTTATTATTTTGGTGCGATGAAACCTCCCATGGTCTCAGCACTGTGCTCAGGAAGAGTGCGGCAAATGTCACAGTCTGACAGTGGGATGGGGGCGCAGGAGATTGTCCTGTCAGACCGTCAGTTCACAAAACGACAAAAAAAAGAAAAATTCATACACATACAAGAGAGATCAGTGCAACTCCACCAGAGTCAAAACCGCTGGGGTCCAAATGATCCAGTCTTTTAAGACTGCGGGTAAGATTGAAAAAAACTGAAACAATATTTTGTCTAATCTCAGCAATAAAAAGTCTTTATTTCATAACTTTTGTACTTAACCAAATTTTAATACAGCAATAAAAAGTTGATTTGGGTTCACAAAGGTGTACTTTCAAGTTTGGAACGTGATGCATTTTTTAAATTTTAATAAAATCATTTTAACAGGTTAGGGACATGCTTTCATGAAGGAATGGGGATGGTCTTGTAATTCCTTCAATCAATGCTGCTTTAGACAAGAAGTTTAATGTGAATTAGAACATTTAATTTCCCTTTTTGGATTAAGAAAGTACTTCTGAACTGAATTAAATAAAGACGATAGTCAGTTCGCACAACTGTTCCTCCTTCAAATAACTAGCACATGTTCCTCATCTGAGTTTGCTTGCCTGCTAACATTTTTGTTACTAATGATGTGCAAGAAGCTTCCAATTTATACCGTTTTCAAATGAATCTTTAATCTCTGGTATATATTCTTACACGCCTACGTAATAAAGATACAACAGTCACTCAGACAGCAATGATCAGCAGGGCAACAAGCTTTTTTTTTTTTTTAACAAGTTCAAAGAAATTAAACTAAATGTCAGAACAGATGCATTGATTTATAAATTACAGTAAAATTTGATTCAATTTATGTTTACTTTAAAATTACATCAAAATCACAATCTGCAGGTCAGACCGCCCCAAAAAATGTTGCGTTTTATCGATATTGCCTAAAAAAAAAAAAAAATATTTTCCTGCTAAAAGACCCAGTATGAGCCATTGTCGTGCAGAATCCTTTGGAAGAGAAACAGGCCCACATCATCACAGATTCTCCACCATGCTGAAGAATGGACCAAAAAAAAGTTTTTTAAATATCTAAATGTTTGCTCTGGAGACCTGCTAGCCCTAAGATGACACTCTTTGCAGCTGTTTCAGTGAGATCTGGGGATTTTATGACTTTACTTTATAGTTTCTCATCATCCTAATAAACACAAAATAAAAGAATTTGACTGATAATTGTCACTTGTTTCCCACACTGAGTAAATAAACTGAAAATAAACTAAATATTAATACTTTTTTTTCTAATCTTGATCAGGGGTGCCAAAAATATGGTTGGCACTGTATTTATAGTTGGTTTTTTTTTTTTTTTTTTTTTTTTTTAAAGATCTGGTTTTAGAGCAGCTGTAATTATTTTCTCTGAATCAGTTTGGAAAACTTCTCCTCCAACTAAAGGAGGTTAAAAATACTGTGGGTTGTTTTTCCTCTACTTTGATCAATTCCAACTAGTACTTTGCACTTCAGGGAAAAAGAGGACAACATGGCGGCGGCCGTCACCATGGTGACCAGTTCAACGTACTACAGCACCTCTGCTCCCAAAGCCGAGCTCCTTATCAAAATGAAGGACATGCAGGACCAGGACGAGGAGGAAGACTCCGAGGACGAACTGGACATTGGTTTGAACAATAAAAAGGTACAAAGACGTTTTTCTGACTCTTCTTTTTTTTTTTGTTGTTTTTTTTTTTTTTTTTTTGTCCTTAACGTTGGTGTTTTGGGGACACTCCGTTGCAGCAAGAGCTGATCGACAGCCTCAGCAAAAAGCTGCAGGTGCTGCGAGAAGCTAAAGAGAGCCTTCTGGAGGACATCCTGGACAACAACGCGCTGGGAGACGAGGTGGAGGCCCGCGTCCAGCAGGTGTGCCGGCCCAACGAGCTGGAGAAGTTCCGGATGTTCGTCGGAGATTTGGACAAGGTGGTGAGTTTGCTGCTGTCCCTGTCGGGCCGCCTGGCCCGGGTGGAGAACGCCCTCAACAACCTGGAGGAGGACGCGACGCCCGAGGAAAGGGTGAGCAAACCGTTCATTACTAACAACGTCGCCGTCCTAAAGTAACGGTCTGAGTCCATTTTTGGTCAAGTGTTTTTTTTCCCCCAACAAAATAAATAAGTAAATAACCACCCGGTCATTGCCAAAAGATGATTTAGACCAAAAATAAATTTTCACTTTTACTTAGACCATTATTTGAAGATGATCTATTCAATGACGGGATGAACTTTGTGCAGCCACTGACTGCAATTCTGGAAGAATACAAATTTAGCCCCCAGAACAGGTTTTATTTTTAATTGGGGCAGAAAGATTCCAGAAAAATGTTAACATTAGTAAAATCCAAACTGTTTATCTGTAAATGAACACTTTCCAAACACAGAGTGACCTGAATCCTGCTTTCATTTCTGCAAACTGACTACAAATACTTAATTTAATCAGGGAGCCTGAAGTTTTCAACAAAAAAGAAAAATGAGACAACTTATTGTGCTTAAAAAGTCTATCACATTATCAACGTGGTTTAAAAAAAATGTACGTTTTTTTTTTTTTATTAAAAATGACTTTTTTGGGGGGCCTCAAGTTTGTTTGACCTGACAATTTTGACCCATGTGACAAAGTTGAAAAAGTAGGAAATTGTATTACTTGATTTATTTATTTTTATTATTTTATTTTTATTTCAGCGCACATTGATCGAGAAGAGGAAGCTTTTGATCCGCCAACACGAAGACGCCAAGGAGCTGAAGGAGAACCTGGACCGTAGGGAGGGCGTGGTCTGTGACATCCTGGCCAACTACCTGCCAGAGGACAGCCTGGCGGACTACGAACACTTTGTGAAGATGAAGTCGGCTCTCATCATCGAGCAGCGAAAGCTCGAGGATAAAATCAAACTCGGCGAGGAGCAGCTCAAATGTCTGATAGACAGTCTGCCCATAGAGCAAAGACTGGCCATGTGATAAAAAGACAAGATGGTGATCATTTAAATTTTTTTATTTTTTTTTTTAAATGACCAGCTATGAAAAGTTTCTACCTGTATGATCAGGCGTCAGTTCAGTCCTGTCACCAGCAGAGGGAGACAGATCAGAACCTGCAGATGAAAAGCTGGTCCGGAACAAAGGACCAGCTCTCTGCTTCGCCACTTCACCTTTTGCTTGTACCGTTTTGGACCAGACTGCAAAATTTGGACTGAATTTCTCTCCACCAACCACTATATCCAACTTCCTGGACACCGTTTTTACTTTTATTTTCCTAGTAATTTATTGTAGCCTTTTTAATCTGCAAAGAAAAGAGGCGGGTGGGAGAGGAGTCCGTTAATCTGAGCAGCCATCTTACCTGATGCGTGTTACAGTATTTATCGTGTTCTGAGTTTATTTCTTTGTCACGTGATCTATTAAAAAAAATCCAAATATTTCAGGTTACTTTAATGCAACGCCCTTTAGCAGATAAACTAGGAGCCTTTCCAGCAGAGTTCTTGTGGCCTTGCTTTCCTCTCTGAAGAAACGTTTCTTCACACGGCGCCGCCAAGCAGAAGCAGCTTCCGATTCAGACTTGAAGTAAATCTCCTGTTTGCAGTGGAAAACGTCGCTATCACCACCTTCACTCACTGCTGCTCTTTTTATTTCACGTTAATATGTGTATTGATTGTTACTACTTATATATTTTGACCAAGTGTTTATATAATGTTTTATGACTTCACTGTGTTTTGTTACACACAGTGTAGAAACTGAATGCACAATTGCAGTTGTTACTTGAAAAATTGCAAAGTAATTTGACCGTTCAGACTTTAAAACTGTGGCTTTCTATGGGTTAAATCAAGCTGCTGGATGTTTGTTTTGCAGGTACACACTTTGCTACAGTTTTACACACTTTCATGCACTGCTGCATCCTGACAAACACTTCATCAGCTGTGCTCCCTCGTATAAAATAAAGAGTCTGCTGAAATCACACAGCTGTGAGGATTTGTTCTCTCTCTCACCGGAGTTAACCATTAACTCCACCACACCCCTCTCTCCACTGATAAGCTAGGTGAACACTTTTTCAGGAAGCAGAACGTTATTAATAAAAGTCAGATGTTGCTCATAGCTGAAAAAAAGACCGACGGCGTTGCTCTGGTTGAGGATCTGGTGAACGCAGCGTCTATGGAAGCAATCTGAACCACAGAATCAAGGTGAGTACGAGGAGGAAATGTGACCCGGTCGTCTTATTTTGCTGCATAACCTTCAAAGACTTAGATGGACAATCATCGACATGGTTCAAACAGACTGTACCTGAAGATACGCAGTTTTATTATAGTCTGGATGGAAAATTCATCTAACCGTCCAACATACAAAAAACGTACTTTGAATTTTGAAATGTATTGCTAGCTCCTTATTGTAATTCATAGTTTGCTTTTTACATGAAAGTAGGAAATATATCAACAGCAGTAGGAACAGCTGATCATACAGAAGGTGCTCCATTATATATGTGTTCATAGAATACAATATAAGGAAAGCTGAACTTTGGCCTTGTTACATGATAACAGGTGGAAAATTATAACATTTTAGAATCATGACAATAAAGGTAACTATAAAAAGTAATGAAAATTGTTGCATTTTTCCTTTTTGGCAATTTTGGAAATATATCAAGTCCACACAATTACAAATATTGATTTTAAAAAATCTAATGACTACAACAACCTATTTTTGTGGCTACAGTTACATTAAATTATTTCACTATGAAATAGTACAAGACTCCAAGCGACAAAATAACTAGCATTTTATTGCTCCTCTCATTTCACCAAGTTTAAAAGTATAGCCACCCACACTACTTTCAATGTTTAGGGGTTTGTTATGAATATCAAGTAGTTTATTATAAATTAAAGGTCTTACGACAGTCCATTTCTCGGTAATAGTACAATAATTCTCTTTCCCAGGCATCTGCACTGGTGTTACATGGTTCTTCTCCATGATTCAAAAAGGATCCAAGTACTGCAACAAAGTCTACAATGGGATGGCTTAGATCAAACCATTTGGGTGCGTTAGAATGGTCTAGTCAAAGTTCAGACTAATTCATTCAGACTCATTGTGGGCAATCAAGCTGAGCTTGAGCTGTTTTGCAAAAAAAGAATGGCTAAAAATATAATTAGATCTTCAAAGCTTATGAAGCTTGTAATTCCACTGTGTTTCTACAAAGTCTTGACTCAGGAGGGCCGAACTATGCGCCACGTTTCCCCCTTTATATTCCAGTGTTGTAAAGTAATGAAGTAAAAATACTTCTTTACTTAAGTATATTTTGGAGTACTTTATACTTTCCTCGAGTATGAACATTTTTGATAACTTTCACTTTTACTTCACATTTCCGAACTTAATTTCATACTTTTACTCCGATACATTTTCAATGTGTGGTTTAGTTACTCGTTACAAAAAAGAGAGAAACACAAGTGTTCATCACCACCAATAGGACGCACCTGTTTCGCTTCTCCCATTAAACACAAAGTTAACAAAACAGCTCTCCCTCTTCAGATGTCAAGCTGCATTTCCTTCCCAATTCTCTTTTTTCTTTTGCATAATAACCAGTTGTGTGCACCTATAGTGTGTGAAATAGAGTAATCGTAACGTCTTTTTTTCATCATGTTGGCCGCATTTTCTGTACTATTTATTTTTCTCATTTTCAGCACTGACCTTACTGAAAGGGGAAACTTAAGGCTTACAAAAACTTTGTATTTTCTGTCCTGGAGGGTTTACTAAGAAACTGGTTCAGTTGTAAAGCAGGGTAAGTTATCCTTGTGGTTTAGGTAAAGCACTGAATTTTCTTAACTAAATGATGCCTGCAGGTTTATCTATTAGCAGGTTTCATTTTGCCTGCACTTGGTTGTGTACATTATTTCAAGTGTATTTGACAAGTTTACCAAAATATAAAAACATGTAATTTAAACTGCATTTGCCTTGTTTTAAATTTTACTTATACTTTTCATTACATTACTTGAGTACATCCATTTTTACAGCAATTTCCATACTTAAGTACGTTTCAGGTACTTTAACTCAAGTAACATTTCAGTCAGTGACTTTTACTTTTACCAAAGTCATATTTTGGAGAGGTACATATACTTTTACTTGACTCTGAGATTTCAGTACTTTATACAACAATGTTCTATTCCACTTTAACTTTAAGCACAGCTTTGTGTTGGTCGATCACCACAAATCCCTAAAACTACACTGGCGATTGTGGTTGTAACCTGAGAAAATGTGGAACGATTGAAGGAGGTATGAAGAGTCGATGCATGTGTGATTTCTACAACCTTCCACACCTTGTTTTCCTGTTTAACAGAAGTAATGGCGCCCTGCAGCCTCTCGTCTTTTTGAGCGTCAGCAGCCAAAACGGGGCAGGAATGATCTATCTGGCTCACACGGCACACCGCCAGTTCCTGGGTCTTGTATTCGGCTTCCTGGCGTGGCTCTTCATTGTGACGACGACCGGCATCAACGAGTGGCGGCTCTGGTACGTGAACGACGTGTCCGTCATCACGTCAGGCGTGGCCTGGGTGGGGATCTGGAGGGCGTGCTTTTACAGCCACGTCCTCCCAGAGGCAGAGTACTGTCGCAGCATCGGCGTCTCAGACAGCTTCGCCCCTGCCGAGATCTCCTCGGCTCAGGTCCTGATGATGCTGGCGGTGATCACCGGCCTGTTGGGGAACATCAGCGCGGCGGTGGCCGTGAGGTTCGCCTACTTCTCAGTGGAAGACCGCAGGAACATGAGGCTGAGCTTCGCGCTGGCCGGGGCTCTGTATTTGGTCACGGCGTCGTTGTCCCTGGTGCCTCTGGTGTGGAACATGACCTCCGTTCTGAACAACAGCACCATAGACTTTCCTCCGGAGTTCAAGCTGCCTGTTGCTCCGGTCCAGCAGAGTGTGGGAACAGCCATCGGAATGGGAATGTTTGCTTCCATCCTGATGCTTATAAGCGGAGTGATCTTCTTCTGCTACAGGCATTCATCGCAAACCGTGGACCAGCTCAAGGGCCACTGGACGGTACCAACGCTGCCCAAGAAGTTTGAGCTGCCCATCGGTGACAGTCGAGCCATGGATAACCCGGGGTTCTACAGTGAAGAAAGATTGTGATGCCTCTACACATTTTTCCTGCATTAACAAAAACGTATATATTGAGAACATTTCTGAACTACAAAGCAACCACAGCCGTGTGTTAAAGATCATAACATTCCTCAGGAATGGCGCCATCAATCTCGGAGTACCTCCAAAAACTCAAAGACCAGAAGAAATCACCCTGTTGAACACCATCTCATGTGTTACATAATCTCTGTGACAGGAATCCAAATAAATACAACCATCAATTACTAGATTATTCAATGCTTTTGTAGGAGACAACATTTAAAATGTTATCTCCGTCTAAGTTGACATGGCCGTCTTGTTTCCAGTGATCTTTCCCAAATGCCACCTGACCCTGATTTGTCGAGCTAGTGACCCCTGAAGACCAGTAACAGTCAGCTGGTACCTGGGACCGGACTGGTTGGAGAGGATACTCTGAACCCTGGAGGAACAGACGAGACCTCTGAACCCGAATTCATCTCTAAACTACATCCTACGTGCAACGTCTGGCAGGGATATTCTCACTCTCTCTTTTTTCAGCTGAGCATGAAAAAAAACATAGATGATAGTTAACAAGAGGTAAGACAACCATGGTAGCTATGGTGACACGTTTAACAGACATTAAAATGATAAATCTAGATTCGTAAGTTCAGATGAGTAATAAAACCAACATTGCAAATATTAATAAAATAGGAAAAGTAGGAAAAGATTCCAAAAATAAAATACATACATGAAAATCTACATCTAATTCAAATAACTGATGTAGAGCTTCCTTCATCACAACAGTAAAACAAAATACGCTGGCAAAACAGTTACATATTGTTTAGAATATATTGCAGATTTTCTAACACGATTTATTCTCCCTCTTTTACTTCACAAGTCTCCTCAGCTTCTGCAGGTCTATCATTTAAAACAGCTTAAAGGGGCAGTATTCTATAAAATTGACTTTTTGAGTTTTACGTCATGCTAGAATTTGATTCCCTCATCAAAAACATACCTGAGGCGCCGCCTTGACAAATCCGTTGATCTCCAGGTTCAACCACACACCTGTGCAAAGCGCCTGGGTGGACCTAGCCCCACCTACGAGACCCGGGCGTCTGATCTTCCACCTCCCCCACTGAGCTCCTTAAGACTAGTCAGCAGCAATTAGCTCACTTACTGACGTCTCAGTGGAACGCTGAGAAACTTTGTTTAAGGGTTAAAGTCTCTGAAAGAGCAGGAGTTTCTCAAAGAGACAGAGGCCCAGTTTCAAAAAAGTCATATTTAATAGATATGGTAATTTTATAACTGAAGGCAGCAAAGTGATTGTGCTATAAAATGGCGCTGTGTGCCTGGAAAATACATAATACCGCCCCTTTAATATAGGAGCTGGAGGATCAGCCGACCTCCGATGATTTAATAAAGTGTTTCAATAAAAAAAGCCAGAATAGCTGACTTTAATATGTAAATAAATACACGAGACATCACGTGTTGCTCGTTACGACTGGGCTGAAGGACTCTGGGGATTCTTATCCTCAGATGGTCATAAACATGATTTCCGCTCCGTTATCACGCGGCGCCCTCAGCAGTGGGCCAGCCTCTGGGCCCGTGACGACAGATCGGTGGTATCGCAGCTCCGGCCGGGGAGGGAGGCCGAGGTGTGGGCTTCTGTCGGCCTCCATGTGAGGACGGGGATCAGCGAGTCAGGTTGACTGGGGGCCTCACTCACGTGACCTGTGTAGGACGAGAGCAGGCATGCGAGTACGTAGAGGGGCCCGCCTTACTGGGGGTGATTGTTGCAAGGCAAGGCATGCTCTCTCTCCCTCTTTCTCTCTCTCTTGCTCGCTCTCTCTCACGCTGGTCCAGCGGCTTGCTGCACCTCTCTGGAGGCGGGTGGAAAAACAAAAGCTCCTCTTCTTGACTTCACTTCATTCGAACTCGGCTCACTTTACAATCACAAAGTGGATTACAGCTGTGAGGTATTTACGTTAACATAATGGGTCAAGAACATTCTGGTAGACTACATATAATGTCTGAGGAAGCTAGAGAGGGCCTGCAGATATCGGCAGGCTAATAACAGGCTTTGCCGAAAAACGCATCCCCCTGCTGACCTGGAGAAATAAAGAGTTAAGAGTGAAATAACTTTTTCTACATATTCAAACTTGTTCTATGAACTGCAGGTATAAGTTTTATCTCAATAGAATATTGAGGTCTGTAATAAGGCAAGCTAATAATCTGCTATGCCAAAAAAGGCATAACTTGAATAAATGAAGAGTTATTTCTACCTAATGACACTTGTTTTCTAAGGTGTAAGTTTCATATCAATAGGACAATAGACAGGGGATGGAAATATTGGCAAGCTCAGATATTGAAATGCATCATCCCCCCACATTAATAGACAATATAATGATATAAAATGTTCTACATAATAGGTCTGTGTTTTGTGATGCTTTAAACCATTATGGTGTTAAAAAAAATAAATAAATCGGGGAATTTATAACATTTTCATCAGACACTAAAAAACGTTCAGCTCGTAGGTGTAAAAGGTGTAAAAACCGTATTTATTTCTATTAATCTGCCAAATAAAACCCACCGCTTTAGAACTGACGTGCTGAAGAAACGTGATGACGTCACGGACATCTACGTTTCCTCCTTCCTCTCCAAACTCTCGTCAACATGCGAGAGTTTGGAGAGACGCGCGCTCCCGCGACGGGGCGCGCAGTTCTCGGCAGGCAAACCGGCTGGTTTATCTGATCCGCCTCGCTTCGTCATCAAATTCATCGGCTAGAAATCATTGATAGAGCAGTAAAAATAAACACAACTCTGATGACTGGTGCAGAGGTTTCCAGTGTTTGTTTGTTTTTTTCCCCCTACTGACTGGTTGACATTTTTGTTGACATTTTCCTGAGTTTAACTAAGATAAAGAGAGAGAAGCTGATCTCCAGCATAACTTTTATGTTTTTATGTCAGTCAGAGATCAGTGGTAACATCACAACATGTATGTTTTGCTGCAGTGGTGGAGCAACTAGCGCTATTTATTTATTTATTTGCTTTTAAACGTTTTACATGAGCGGATATGATTGAAGGTTGACCTTCAGGACTGTCTCCGCAGAAAGAGCAGACGAAAATTTAAAATCTGTATACGTAATAAAAAATACATAAATACATTTTTAAATCTCCTATTGGGGAAAAAAAAAACTTCTGAACTTTGTCTGCAAGTACAGTATTTTTCACCAGGAAATGGATCTAGAAATCTTATCAACTATTTTTGCTTGATCTAAGACAAAAAAGGGATAATTTACTTTCATTTATAATGATACTCGGGTCACTGTTTCGTGATTAATAAGACAGGAACTTGGTGTTTCTTACCTTTACCTTTTTGTTGCGTATTCTCCAGGCGCCATTTCCAGCAGAGTCGTTATTACCGTGAGCTATAAAAACGCTTGTCACATCAAACCTGACACAAAAGAAATTCGACGCCTTGAATTTGTCTGCTCTTTCCAAAACTCTCCCCCAGTGAGTCGCCACGTCGTTTCTCCAAACTCCCGTAACAGACAACGCTTCGCTGAAACGCAGCCGCCATTACGGGCCTCCGCCAGGGGCGCCGCTTCACCAGGTGTTCGCTAATTGCTAGCAATTAGCGAGTCTTAGCTAGCAGCTGCGCTTGGTGAGACCTGCGTTTTTGCTTCCGGGTCGGTTGCCACGGGAGACGAAAGGATTAGCGTTATCACATGATAGGAAGCTCAAAAAAGTGGATTTTATGCAACACTGCACCTTTAAGAAAATAATATGTCGGTGACAGTGTAGGCCTAAACATTTTTAAAGTGTAGTACAGATTCATCTTTAAAACTTGGTTCAGTTCTTTCCTGTGTGCTCCATGATTTAATAGCTTTTGTTGTGTAGAATTAAAAAACAAAAACAAATATAGATATGTATAATTGAAATGCAATAAATAAGTGTCTCAGCCAGTCAGTTCCCCAGCTCACTAATTATAAGCAGTGTATGAAAACTGTTTATCAAGCACTCAGAGTGAGTTTGTTTGTTTGAATTCGGATGTAGTTAGACGTAATCTGTCATGACGCTGGCATGTCGTTTCCCTTTAGTTGCCTCTCTGCCCAGACTCACAGGAGCTAGAAACATACTGCAACCCACAGGGGGAATCTCCACATTTGATTTTGGACCCTTCCTACAGCTAATTGCTTTCAAAATGGTGGCCTGGAGACCTTCTCTTCAGCCTGTATGGCATGGAGGATCCAAACTGCCAAAAATTAAAAACAAATGCAGGAATTAACGGGCCACCAAAAGCACTTTCGACATTCCAAGTCAGTGTCCTTTATTTGGAAAAGATTGCACCTGAAATGCCACGGAAAATATTTTTGTGTTATCTTTATTTTTGCCCCTGTAAATTCAGTTAGTGACATCCACATCCGCTCCTGACTGACTGGTCTTCTTTTACGTCAGAGAGAAACGAGGGAGTGAGGGCGCGTTTCTTGTTGGTAAAGGAACGGACAGAACCAGAAACGTGTCCATCAAAGTAGCCAAACTGGACCTTGAACCAAGAATAATCTCCTGCTAAATGTTTACAATTGACAGAATTTTTTTTTCTAACTCATGCTTGTCAGGAATACGTAAATGAATAAAAAGATAACAAATTGGAAAACATGTTATGGTAAACACTGAAATTAAAATATTTTTAGACTTTAAAGCAAGAGTTGGATGCTTATTTTAAATCAATAATTCCAGAATATGCAAAATATAATCTGCCCGTGCTTGTTCCACAGACAGATTATTTAACTTACATCTTGTACTTTTTCACCAATGTTCAGAAATTATTGACTTCAAGCATGTTAGGATATTTTGAACTTGAACCTGGGCCAAAAACACTTTGTTAGATTGTGTGTTTTTGCAGTGCAGACGTTCTCTCTCTCTCTTTCTGCTCCAAGCCCTCCGGCTCTGGGAGTCTCAGCAGAACCACCGTCAGCAGGTTAGAGCCGGTCCCGTCTCGGAGCCCCTCGGGAGACTTGCTCGTGTGACAACGTCATTATCTCTTATTAACTTCATTCCGGAAGAGCTCGCTCCTCAGAAAGCACAACTGATATAAAGGAAAAGGTTTTCCGCAGCGTTCGACGCGTTATGCACCGCTGTACCTGTGTGCTTGCGAAGCCATGCGGGCGGTGACACACTCTGACCCCTGGCAAATTTGTGTAATTATGTCAACGTGTGCTACATTCTTCGACCATTAAAGTATTCATTAAACACAGCTTAGCTCTGTGAGTGACCAGGAAATCTGATGGAATTAGCCTCAAGCTGTGTTTCCACCGCCGCAGACACACCTGATGGCTGTTTTTAGTCCCTGCGGCCCCCCTGCTGACCGGGCCGGGCCGGTCCGGGCCGGGCCAGTCGTCTGAGGGTGGCTGTGGTTTGGCCGGGGCCTAAACCTCTGACATAACAGGCCACAAACCAAGACACTCCTGCACAAAGCCTCGGGTCTTTCAGCATTTTACCAACACAAAATTAACCCCTTGGTGGTTCCTTTGCTTTGTATTTATTGTATGTTCTGTTTTTGCCTTGTTTTTTATCACTACTATATGCTTCAGATCTTCAACCTCATTTTAATTACAGACAAAGGAAACCTGACTGAACACAAAATTCCAAATGGTTTAACGTGTTTTGGGAATATATTGTTTTCATGTTAAATCACGAATTAGCTCCAATTACTAAGCTTGTTGCTTAAGGTTTGCCAGACACACCCAGATCTGTCGACCGCCAGATCCGAGTAATGAAGGAAAACACTTAAAGCGTGTCTGATAATAAACGTGAAGCAGGCTAAACGGCCGCAAAACGCAATACTTGATGTTGTGGTGTAAGGAAATTCAAGGACAGATGAGAAAAAGAGTCAGCGGCAAATGGGGAAGACTTGGAACGGCAGCGACCGACCGATCAAAATCACACCAGAAATCATCGACAAGTCATGGAGAGCAACATCAACAGCTCTGCAGACCTTCCTCTAGCCTGGATCCTGTTAGTGTTCATGACTCAGCAACAGGAAAAATAGACTGGGCAAAAATGGTAAAAGAAAAAAAAAAAAAACAACGAAAAGATCCCCAATAGTTTGGGAAAGTAAGTTAATAATGAGTATGATGTAGAAATGAGCAACAAAAACAGAAGGAATCTGTTTGGGAGCGCAAAAAAAACCCTTTTGAAGATGCTAGTGCATCTACATTTTTATCTCTTTTTTTAATGAATATCATTATTAAACTTTAACTTTTCACAGTTTCTCTCTCTCAAAAAACAAAACAACAAAAAAACACCACAAGTGAATTTTCTTTTCATTCTCTGTGGGAATTATTACATTTCAATGTTAGATTATTTTTTAAAAAGTGCTGCAAATTGCTTATTTTAGTTTGAAAGGCATGCAAAAGTAAATGGAGAAAAAAATAAATAAGCCAAAAATATATTAGCACAACAAAGCTTATGCAAAAAGAGGTTTCAAATGCACAATAAAATGTCCAGGTCACAACACAAAATGAAAGAAAGGCAAATTTATCTATGTTTTTTTTTTTATGTTTTCTTTTTTTTGCCAGGATTTTATACACGAGCAGAACCTTTAGACCTGATCTGTATCAGACGATGCACTTCACCAGAAAACCAGAGCGGACTCAGAAAATGTGTTTCTAAGAAACGTTGTGAGCTTCAGGATTAAGAATAACAGACATTAACAGAAAGCCTAGTAAAAGCCTTTAATAGTTTATTTTTCATTTTGAAAGTGAAATATGAAAGCCATCCCATAATACTAAAACCTCCCTTTACAAAAAAATTCTCTTGTACTAATCACAGCAGGTCATCTTGCAATGCGACGTCTGATTGTGCTTGTGAGTGTTTGAAAGAGCTAAAACATTACAAACTAAAGCCTGTTTGTGTTTTTTGGCTGGATCAGCTATTACATATTATCTTGCATTTAATATATAAAAATTATTGACATCATTGGTGCAAAGCAGTTTGAAGTGCAGCTCTACGGGTGATCGTGCGGTTCCGTTCGTTAAACGTACTCAGAGCGTTTTCTTTGGTCACGGTCTCTCTTGGCGTGGCACCTCCTCTGTGGCGCAGGGTGGTGCTCCACCTGGGAGCACCAGGCGGAGGTCACCATGATCAGCCCGGCCACCACGAGGAGGAACCCCGCTGCCCAGCCGCAGAACAGGGCGTCTCCGAACTCCCACCGAGGCACCACCTCGGGAACCTTCTCGTCAAAGAAATGCATCACCGCCAAATGGGCGACGTAGGACACGGGGACCAAACAGAGCACCCCGGACATCATCCCCAGCACCCCTCCGGTGACGGTCAGAGTCCTCTTGGTTCGGTGGCCTTCATAGTCTTTGCAGCTGTTGATCAGGTGGAGTCCGGGTACGGAGACCACGATTCCCAGCAAGCCCACGGTGAGGGCGGTGCACATCAAGATCCTGGCCAGTTTGAGGTCGCTGGAAAGGCCCAGCAGGCTGCCGTAAGACCTGCACTCCATGCCTCCGATGTCCTGGACCACGCAGGTCTCCCACAGTCCCAAGTCGTAGCTCTCAGTGGGCAGCAGAGAGGTGGACATGGTCAGCCACTGCGGCAGGATGGTGCTGCCCAGAGCGCAGAGCCATGCCCCGACGTAGACCAGCAGCCCCAGCAGTTCCAACACGCAAGCAGGTGAGTCCATGCGTCTCCTTGCCTCTCCGGCCTCCACGTTCAAGAGATCCATGAGAGTTCCCCTTCGCCGGCTGCGCCTGGGATGGAGAGGCCTCTCAGAGTCCGGTCGGGGTGGAGGCTGCTCAAAGCGCCTGGTAATTAGAGCTGACTGCAATGGCTCAGGGCTCGGCACTTGTTCACAAACACTTTCCACTCAGAGGAGCACACATCTTCTGATGCAGGAAGGAGAGGGGGCTTGTTTGGACCTCCCCCTTTGTTATACCGCCACCATGCCAATGGGCAGCAGGAGCAGAGGCAGAGATGGCTTTGTTTAGATGAAGCCACTGTCAAGCATTTCCCAAAGTTGCAAGCCACAGGAGAGGTCATTAGACGTGGACAAGATACCAATCTATGTTACGGCAGAAAAAAAAGAGACTTCTTTCATGTCTGTTTTTGCATCCTGTGTGTTTTATCCTGAGATATGTCAATGCCAGAAGACAGACAGCCAAGCAGTTTGTTCTGTACATGTAAGAAGCAACTATTTCCTGATGTAAAACTCCGTAAAATGGAACCAAGGGATGCAAAATGGCACAGAATGAGAGAGAAACGTAGATAAACAGGCTTCCGTACGTTCAAGAATCAATATAGTGCAAGAGCAACAGAACTGGGTTGCAAATTCTGTCGTGTTCATCAGTTTGGGCTAACTGCTTTTAGATTCGGGCTGCATGTGACTGAATGTGAAACAACAGAGCAGCTTATTGTCTCGTATCTTACGAACACAGCAGAGCATGTGGGAAACAATCGTAGGAGGCTGCAGATCAAAGCCGAGATGTGAGAAAATTTTTCCCGTTCTTAAGAACATTGTTCGGACCGCAAACAAAAAAGCAATAAAATCCCCAGCTGAGAGTTCTGATGTCCGGACAAAGACTCGGACAGAACAATACCAAATCAATCTCCTGGTGGAAGCGAAAAAGGAAGCTTCTCTTTGTATTCAAACAGTGTGAGAGGGACAACTACAGAAGAAACTTCCCATACTGTTTGAAGTAAAAAAAAAAAAAGAAAGAAAGAAAGAGGAGGCAAACTCCCCCCTCTTTGTTAATTTCCCTTCCTATTAAATTACTTTGTTTGTTGTTGCTGTAGCATACTTGTTAACGTGACGCAGCGCCGCAGTTCATTCATTAGGCCACATGAGGGCGACAAACACGAGGGATTTCTTCTGTTCCACTTCAGTAAAAGCCAAATACACTCGAAAACCAGACTAAAACATACAGAGGGAGCCACATTGGAATGTGTTCGGGTTTGATTTTTCTGTTTCTATATTTAAGGTATGCAGGAACCGAACAAATACAATCAGATGGATACGTGAATTTATTGCTGGAATTCAGCTCAGCCATTTTTGTTAACTATTGCAATTTATGGAGGCTTCACCCACCGACGGATGCATTTCAAGTGTTTATTTCAGTTAAATAAACACTGACCGACACCTGTTCAAACCACATTCTGCTTCTCTGAACATTTTAATACAGAGATTTTTTTACATCTCTTTTTTTGTATCTATTGTATTTATTTTTTTCCAAAACTGTCAGAGAAGTGTAAAATCCTGTTTGACCTTACGTTTTTCTTTTCTGTTATTTTTTTAGTTTTCTGAGAAACTGAATTTTGCATTTCTCGCTTGAAATATGTCACTGAGTGTGAAATGAATTTCATCGGTGTCTGCAAAGAACTTAATTTGAATTAAATTACTGGAATAAACTGAATGCTTTTTTTTTTTTTACCAGCATAGCAGAGAAACCGATTTCCTGCATTAAGATGCTATTTGGATAGGAGGCACCAGATGGCGCTGATGTACCGCCGCCACCGCAATCACAGCAGCAAACTCAGTGGGAGGAGTCCGTGTGTTTAAATCAAAGTTTTTCCTCGTTGTTACATTAAATATATTTACTGTTTTAGCTTAGTTCTAAAAAAAAAAAAAAAAAAAAGCCTGATTTTTAAGTCAAGCTAAAATGTCCTACTAATAAATAGGTGAAAAGTTTTTCTTTAACTTCCTTGACGTTCTTTTGTTACTTAACTATTCTTGTTGTTGGTGTCTTCCAGCGCTGTGGTGATGAAACTGAAGTGGCGCGACACTTTAGAGTGTCCGGGTGGTAGTAATTAGCCCTAATGAGGGGCTGATTCCCGCAGCTCCCCCATTGGATGGAGGGACTCGCTCAGCCGTACGTCCGAGCGTTTATGCAAATCCGCCACCAAATATGGACAGACGCGAAGGAATGAAATATGGTGGAGAGGCGAACATGGAGGACCGCGAGAACGCCGCCGGACCGTTTCTAGGGGGGCAGTAGCGGAAGAAAGTGGATGTTCCTCCCGCGGGACCTTTTCAGCGGAGAACCTCGGTGGAAAGTCGCTGCTGTCGTGTTTCCTTTCCCCAGCGCGTCGAGGTGGAGGAGTCGCTTTGTAATGCAGTGAAGACCGACGGCTTTCTGGTTTTCGGGGGTATTAAAAAAAAAAAAAAAAAAAAAAAGCAGGGCAGTGGGGCTTCTGCCCGACTCACCGTGTCGACGCTATGCCGTGGGTCAGCGGCGGGAAGCGGAGGGAGAGCAAGGAGCTGCCTCTGCCCCCGGGCTGGGAGGAAGCCCGGGACTACGACGGGAGAGTGTTTTATATCGACCACAACACCCGGCAAACTTCGTGGATTGACCCCAGAGATAGGTAGGTAGGCTGGAGGCCTGGGGGTGGTGGGCTCATACACACACACTCGGAGGTATGTTGATTCAACAAGTTAACTTTATAAAGTGTGTGCGCACATGGAGAGCTGCCTGGAAACGGGATATTCCCCCCAGATGTAGACCCCGTGTGTGTGACTGTGATCATTCTTCTTTCCTTTTAGTCAGATTCCAGCTCGATGTGGCTTAATTAGCTGGAAACCTCTGATCAGCTGAGTTTTAGCAGGAGTTGTGGCCTCCTGAAACAGGGGTGTGTGTTTGTGTGTGTTTGTGCAACGCCCATCGTATCAATGCACCATGCTGGTCACTTTAATGTGTCCCTCCATACACACCAAGTCTGACAGTGTTTTGACAGGGAGCTGGGGCAGCAGCCTCAGTCTTTCCAGTTTGTTGTTTCAGAGAAGTTTGGTGTCACCAGACCAGCAACCTCCCTGTTGAACCAGTAGTCTCCCAGTCTGTCTGGTCACCCAATGCTCCAGTCCTGAGCCTCATGCTTGAGACTCCAATCACCTGAACTCATCAGTACACTCGTTGACTTGATGACTTTCTGTGACCTGAAACATTCCTGGCTGAGGAATCTCAACAGAGAACCATTGTTTTGCAGCTCTCCCTCTCACACAGACACCTCCTTCAGTTGAGCGGCGCGTCAAGAACGGCCTAAAAAGTCTGCTTGTTTATGTCAAAGTGGACGTGATTGTGTTTGTGACTGGGGTTAAGGAATGCAGCAGCAGCAGCAGCAGCAGCAGCAGTAGTAGTGGAGTGGTGAGCTTGAGACTCCAACTCCCAGAAACCTTGGTGGAAATATGTGAAGAATGCTAGTTGGGCCAGTGGGAAAGCTGCAAGGATGTGCTTTTGTGGGGACTTGGATTTCACCAGCCCAGAAACGGGTTAAAGCAGATTTACGAGATCACTGGGAATTATTGCGAGTACTTTACCTCTACTGTAATGTAAGGGAAAGGTGGAAATGGATCAAAGCAGCCCTTTTTCGTACGGCTAGAGACGAGTCTTGTCTTTGCGGCTCATTTGAATCCTGGAAGGCGCAGAGTCTGATAATGGGGAACATATTGGGTTCAATGTGTTTACTTGTAGACATTTAAGTGGTTCTAATTGATATTTTCATAGATTGTTCTGTTCTTATTCAAACTCTGGCTGCTTTTTCACTCACTTTACACCCAATCCATTATACCCGAAGGTTGTTCTTGGAAAATGCCACACAGGGTGAGGCTTCATTCTGTTCCTGGTACACTTTTTTTTATTTATTTTTTCTCCCTTCAGACCCCCCCCCCCCGCAAAAAAAAAGATTTTTTTTTTACAAATTGAAACAATGGCGTAAGCAATCTGTGAGCAGTGTAAAATATTTTCATCTAGGGGAGTCGTAATGTCAGGAAAACGAGTAAACATGCTGTCTCAGAAATGGACCAAAGGTTTCAGAAATGTTGCGCTGTTAGAAAATCCACGTTCAGTGCAAAATAAACCTGGTGTGACCTCTCAATACTATGTATGTAGAGCCAGATAAAAAGCAGGGTAAATCCTTTTAAAAAGAATAAAAGCCATTTGATTTAGCACCAAATGCTAATATAACAATAAGAAGCAAACGTTTGTTTTGTTTTCTATAGTATGTGCAGTCATGTTCTCTTCATGCTTGAATTGTAAAAAGTAATAAACTCAATAGGGGAACAAATTAAAAAGAGAAAAGAGAAAGTATGTAACCTAAGTGCTCATGCAGCTCCTTATGGAGCTGCTCATATGCCCATATTTAAAACAGTTGCATATCTTTTAATACTTTTATTGATTAAACTTAACTTTGAATATTTCCAGAGTATACATCCTTCTATAGAACTAGTTTTTGACATTAAACAGTTGAAATTTATTTGCAAATTAACTTTTTGGTCCAAATGCTTGTAATCTCCAGTATTTTTTTCTTTTTAAAATTGGTTAATGGTTTTTTTTTTTTTTGAGTGACAGATTTTTAATGGTCGTCCTGCCAACATGCTCTCCTACCCCGCCTTAGCTGCTTCTCAGATTAATGCGTTATGTATTAATGGGTTTTATTTGGGAGCATCAGTGTTGGGGGAAACCATGAATACAAATGCACGCCAAACATTTCAGGTTTTTATTTGTAGAAATTTCTGTAAATTATTTTTCCTTCCTCTGTGCTGCTTTGTGTTTGCATAAAATCCCTGAAAAATAAATTTAACTTCATTGTAATTAGAGATAGTTTGGAGCAGTAAGAAGGAAGCGACACGAATCTACAGTTTTGCTGGCAAAAGGAAACTTTAAATTCTCAAATTCTCAGGAGATTACAGGCCATTGCAGGGCACGTTTAAAGGGCATAAGAAAAGTGGAAGCAAACTGAACTCTTACCTGTTGCAATGAGCAACGGAGGACTTGAGTGAAGAAATGCTCAACATTTCTGATCTCTCCCTCCAGCAGGAGGGTGAACCCTGTAGCTGGATGTAATCTAGATAAGAAAACCCAGACTTTCTTGAAGCCCCCCCCCACTCCTCCCTGCTTTTTGATGAAGCATTGTTGCACAGGGTTCATCTGCGTTTCACAACACCTTCCAGTAGTGAGCGTCTGTCGGGAGGAGTTTGTAGGTTTGCATGACTAAAGGAATGTTTCCTGCATTTGTTCTGGTGCTGCTCGATGATTTATTGGCCTTCTAAGCAGAGGAATGTCTTCTGTCGCCACCTGAAACGGCCTTTCCTATAAAGTTCTCTTTACCTGCTACTAAATCTGACTGCCTGACGTGGATCAGATCAAAAAGT